TGTTTTCCAGATTTTATTGCTTTCAGTTTTGTCCAAAGTATTTTTCAAATAATATAAAAGAAAGCACTTTTATTTCCTTTTTTTTTATTTCCTATTTTTTTTAAAAATAGGGATAAGCAGGAAGTTTAGTAGCCATAAAAGGACAAATATTGAATGATCCCATTTATATAGGGGCTACCTAAAATAGGCAAATTCGTGGACAACCTGTAGAACAGCAATAATCAGGGACGGGGAGAGCAGGGAGTAGGCATGACTATTTAAGGGGTACAGCATCTATTTAGAGAGACAAATATTCTGGAATATTTAGTGACAGTGATCCTACAAGATTACACATGGATTTGCTGACAGTAAATTTACACATAAAAAACATCAAAGGGGGCTGGAGAGATGGCTCAGAGATTAAGAGCATTGCCTGCTCTTCCAAAGGTCCTGAGTTCAATTCCCAGCAACCACATGGTGGCTCACAACCATCTGTAGAGGGGTCTGGTGCCCTCTTCTGGCCTGCAGGCATACACACAGACAGAATATTGTATACATAATAAATAAATATTTAATAAAAAAAAACATCAAAGGGATAATGTAAAGTTATTACACATAAAAAAAAGAAGATTGGAAATCAAGAGCTCCCCAAATTCTGCCACGTAGAGAGACCTGCCATCAGTGCATTGCCATCCATCCTTGCAGACATAAACCTAAAGGGGATGTTTCACAAAAGTGGTACCCTGCCTGGTAGCTTCCTTCTTAGAAATACATAGCATCTGTCCATGTTTACAGGTGCACATCCGTAACCCTTACTTTTGAAGCCACATGACATTCCATACCATAATTAACTAACTCGGGATTGTAGGCATCGTAAACAATGACTCAAGGGATGTCCCCAAGCACTTGTTCAATTATATCCTTGGTGGCATGCCCAGTCAGGGGCTCTCTCCCATTGGAAGACTGTCCGGTGAGCAGAGAAGAGTAAGCTACTTCAAGGATGCAAAAGATAAAAATTGTCTTACAGAAACTTTGCTCTCCACGTGGCTTCTTAGAAACTGCACAGTGCTCAGGAAGTTAGACTGTCTTCCACAGAGGGCATGTTTACCTCCCCTCCCAGGCCTTCTCTGTCCTTGAATCTTGCATGGGCCATGAAAGGCAGAGAGGGTTATCCTGGGTCAATGTCCACTGAACTTCTTATCCAGCAGGAGACCCTAACACCCCTTGAGGGTGCCCAGGGATGCACGCCCACGAGGATGTACAAATGCTTTTGCAAACCATTTTGTTGCTCAAGACTTTGGTCTTGAGTAGATGTTTAAACATTTTCTTAAAATGCAATAGACCCTTCCTAAAGGAACCAGGGGCTAGAAGGGACACATGAAACCACCTAATCCCTTGCCTTTGAGATGAGGAAGTGAGGCCCAGAAAGACTTGGCATAAATGTCTCAGTAACCATCGTAGGGCCCTAGAGCTGTCTCACATGGTGATTCAAACAAGTCAGAGCGAATTTTGGACACCCAGGACAGTCATGATCCTCTCTGTGTGTAGGAGGATTGAACGTGAGATCACTGGGGTATATCCCAGCTCAGTTGTGGCCAAAGGGTTCACACAACTCGTGTCTTGCCAACTTAGTGTTCAATGGCACCACACTGATGGCTAAAAGCCAGCCATGAGAAGCTATTCTGCTGAAACAGGTGAGTGCCCAAAGCAAGGCTTTCCCATGCCCCACTTCTGACAACTAGCCATTCCAATGCTACAATGTATCACTGGTCACAACCGAGCTATGCCCAAGCTGTGGACCTCCATTTCTCACCAAACAGCTTCTCTTTCTAACCCTAGTTCCCCATGCTCCACCATCACAATGCTCTCAGATCCAGCACCGCCTCCTGCTTATGAATCAAAGAACTAGAAAACGTTTTCCTGAACGCTTGCTGTGTGCCAGGCTCTTTTCTGACAGTAGGTGACATTTTCCTGTCTTCAGAATATCACTAGGGGATAGTTATTAGAATTTCCATCTTATGATTGGGGATCACAAGGCTTTAAATGAATTTTAAACTAAAACCAAAGTCTGTTTTAGGTGGATTTCCCCCAGAAGCAGAGGCAAGAATTCAAGTTCAAGTGCCAGGGGCATGGGTATGTAAGCCAAGAAGGGGGAAATAGAGCGATGGACAGCCCAGTGGTTAAGAGCACTGGCTGCTCTCTAGGCCAGGTTCGATTTCTACCATCTACATGGAAATTCACAACCATGTGTAACCCCAGTTTCAGGAAAACCAATGCCCTTATCTGACCTCTGTGGGCACCAAGCGTCACATGGTGCAATCCATACATGCAGGTACTCACAGAATAAAAATAAGTCAGAGAGAGAGAGAGAGAGAGAGAGAGAGAGAGAGAGAGAGAGAGAGAGAGAGAGAGAGATTGTGAGTTGTTTGAAAGTGTCCCAAGAAGGAACCCTAGACACAGCACAGGGCACGTCCCAAGGTAGTCCCATCAGAGTGAGAAAACTGAGGTCATTTCTATAGCTTCTCCCATCAGTCACTGGTGGGAGAACAAACCAGCCAATGACACAAAAGGAGGACACTGACCAGATCTACATGGCCCATACCCTACAGCTAAAAGGTGACAGGAAGGAAGACAAACTCCCAACCCATTATACCCATAAAACGGAGCAGTTAACTAAGCCAACTCGGCTGAGTGCCAACCACTGGTAAAACCACACAGTGATGGACTATGCGTGTTCTGTCAATCACTTTGGGTTGACACAGCCAAAGAAAGCACAGAGTATCTTTCTGTCAGTTGTTCAGTTCTGGAAGTCGTTAGAGTCAGCCAAACGGCCTTCACTCTCTGGTTTAGCCACAGTTGGTTTGAGCAGGCGTTCCCAGCAGCCCACACTACTAGCCTGAGCAGCTGCATCGAGCTGTGCTTACAGGTGCTGGTGTCTTTATCCAGGGATGACCAGCCGTGGCCCACTGGATGGAACCTAAGCATGTCCATGTTTATTGCACCTACTGCTCCACCCACTAAGACCACAGCCATGTCCTCTGTGGATATGCAAACTGGCAGTCACAGGCTTAAGTGGGGAGCTTACCCTGCCTTGAGGACTTTAAAAGATTCTTCTAGGAGTTAGCTGGGCAGTGGTGGCACATGACTTTAGCCTTTAGTCCCAGCACTCGGGAGACAGAGGTAGGAGGATGTCAGTGAGTTCAAGGCCACCCTGGTCTACACAGTGAGTTTCCAAGACAGCCAGTGCTACAGAGAGAAACAAAATACAACACAAAAGAAAGAAACAAAATAAAACTTCTGGGAGGCAGGGAGGTGTTTATAGGTGACAGTGTGTCATTGGGGTAAATAAATGGAGCGCACTGTGAAGGACGTCAGGACGTCCGTAGTGGGAAGCGGCATGAAGGATACTGCCTTGGCATTATAAACACAGCTAGGGCAGCTCTCAGCAGCTAAGACTTGAGACCAGAGGCAGGACATCTTTCGTTCCAAGCACACGACAAGACTTGGGCAGTTTTTCACCTGAGGAGAGGAGAGAAAGCTTGGGCAGGCCCTAAGGCTGTTCTTAGGAATACCCCCACCCCAGTCCCTCTCAGCCTTTCCTTAGGACTCTGGCAGCCACAGTCTGCACTATCCACTGCCATCTCCCCCAAGCTGGGAGGGCACTTCCTGCCTAAGAATCCCAAAGAGGACTAAAGGCAGCAATCAGCTCAGGTTCTTTTGTGATTGGACAGCGGGTCTCCTTTCAGGCTAGTCCCAGAGTCCAGCCCAAATGAGAAGTAGAGAAGTCAAAGTACCGACCCTCGGCACCTCTAGCCAGGATCTTTAGCCGTCTCTAAGTAACTTGCACACAGTGCCAGACAAGGAGCCTGGCTCTGAGGCATCAGCAAAGAAGTCAAAGAGAAATCAGGGGGCCTCTGAGACGCTGCAGATGAACCCAAACATCAGAATGAGGAAGGAAACTGAAAACAAGGTGTGGCATCTACTGCCCTCCCCCTAAAATACCACAAAACGGAAACAAAGCGGGCACCTCTAAAGAGAAGTCACACTGAGATGGAGGGAGGTGTGCTGTGGAGGTCAGGAGCTCTGGGACACCGCCCTGGGCAAAGTCAGAATAATGCTGGCTGCAGAAAACACAGGTGCAAGTTCAGAGCATGCGCTGACCAACCTGGTCCACCCCACAGATGTGGGTGTGGGATCTTGGATCCCCTGGTCTTCCAGCTGGGTTTCTCAAGGCTACTCCCTCATCATTTGCATTGGAACCCCATATTTTGTTGCCCCCCCCCCGCACTCTTCTATTCGGCAACGAAGGAATGGGTGTGGCTTCCCATAACCCCCAGCACAGGCAATCCCAAATGCTACCAGTCCATATCCCTCAGTGGCCAGGTGGATTTCCCACAGTTTCCTCTACAGGGCAAGAAGCATGCTTATTTGCAGACTAAGGTCATCTCTCCAAGCTCAGCCATCATTACATGCTCCCCTCTACCTTCCTGAGACCCACTAGACGGTAGCAGGTCCCAAGAATCGGGTTTTTGCCCAAAGGAGAAAACTGTCCACATGCCCACACTCGACAGCCCTACTCTAGGGCCTCTGAGCGCAAATGGGCACCGCTCAGGAAGACACCACAGTTAGTCCCCTAGGACAGAAAGCAAGGAAGGGGACAAGGGAGGGAAGGGGGGCATTCTTCTCAAACTCAGTATAGCTTGGTTTCTTTAACCCTCAGACCACCTGTAGAAAAGTTTCCCCTTAACAAATGCGGATTGAAAGTATGACAAATTAACCTCAGACTCCTCGTTCACGTGCTCTTCCAAAAAAAAAAAAAAAAATCCCCTGGCTGAATCTGAAGGCTGTTTATAAGAACTGTGAACTGTGATTCTAATTCTTTTTCTTTCTCTTCCCGCCCCCCCCCACCCCGCCCCAGGATCAATACCGCAGGGGCAGAGCCCGCTCTGACTAGTTATCATTTGTCCACCGCTTCCTCACGCAGGAATCTTCCTCGGGGTGGGGGTGGGGGGAGCGCTTACCGTAACCCTTGCCTCTGTTCTCAGGGCGAAGTGTTTCTAACCCCCTGGTTTCTGGACGCTTGGGACTAAAGCGAGAGCAGCGTTGTGAAGCCTGGCGCTGAGCTTGCCACTGAAGCACAGGACTGCTGTGGCCGGTCCAGAGCTGTCCCTGTCCGGACACCACCACTCCGCTGTCTCCAGCACGCTCTCGGGTAGAGCCGGGTGCAGAGTAAGCACTGTAGACGCTCAAGTGGCCGGGCCGCCTTTTGAAAGCACCTGCCTAGCCCGGCCTCCAGCGACCTCAGGAGGGGTCACGAAACTCGGTAGCGGGAAGTGCGCCTAAGCACTGCGTGCCCTGAAACTCTGAAGGCCAAGGCGGGCAGGGCTCGTCCGGGGCCGACGACACGACCCCCGCCCCGGGAGCCAGGGGGCGCACAACAGTCCGAACCTCCCCTAAGCTACCCAGGCCTGCACCTGCTATCCCGCTTCACTTCGCTAGGGAGTTCGGGGAGGGGGACACTTCCCTGCCATTGCATCAGGGGTCCACCGCTGGAAAAACCTCAAGGGGTTAGAGCGGCAGAATGAACTCTAAGCCACAACTTTCTACCCGGGGAAAACGAGTGGGCTGGGGCGCCCGCCTGCACTACTCATGGGACAGCACCTTGTGGCTCAGGGGGACGGTTGGCGAGCCGGGGGCAAGAGAGACTCAGGGGCCGGGCCAAAGGCCTCTGTGGGAAAACTTTGGGATGGGTAGTGGGAGGTGGGGGCAGGACCACCGGCGCCCGCACCTTGCGTCTGCATCCCGCTCCAGTACCCGGCTCCTCGCGCCCCGCGCCCTGTGTCTTGCCTGCGTCCCGGACCAGCTGCATCCGCGCGCGCCGCAGGGGTTGGAAAGTGGGGGCGCCGCTGCGGGGGTGGGGGGTGCTCCAGAGTGCTTGGCCAGCGATCCGCGAGACCGGCTTGCTTGGGCCGGGCTGGGCGGCGACAGCGCGGCTGGGGGCGGGCGTCCCGCCCTCCTGGCCCCTCCGCCCCGCCTCCCCGAGCTCTGCCTTTATCTGCCGATCCCTGACCAACCCACCCGTCACCCTTGTAGCTCTCCTCTACCCACCCCTCTTCTCTCGCCTTTCTTCCCTCCTCTCCCTCCCCCTCTAGGGGGTGGAGCTTCTCCCCTCCCAACAAGACAGACAATGCTGTGACTTCTCGCCCCCCCCCCCCAGCTCTCCGCTCCCCCAGCTCGCGCGGGCTGCCCGCGTTTCTTCCGGACGGGTTGGAGTGGATGAGGAGGGGGCGGGAAGCCAGGGTGAAGAGGATAAGGTGGCTCCTCTCACCCTATTGAGCCTGCCCTCTGCAAGCAGCGTGGAGATTTGGCCCAGACCCTAAGGCTCGCCTGGCACAGTGACAGTTCCAGGGAGCAGCCCGCCTAGAGAATGCAGATTTCCTAGCAGAGGATGTGCAGTTAGCGGGGTGGGGTGGTGTTTCTTTTCTAACACCCGGCCTCCGTTACCAAAGGGCTTGAGCGCTAAAGGGTAAGTGGGCCCCTTCGACTTCACAGGCCGGCAGACGTGACAGTAATGTGAAGGAAGTCAAGTTTCTTTGTCCATCCCCCGCCTCCTCCTCTTCTCCATCTTTAGACCTCTGGAGAACCTAGTGCATAAAAGGAAGCACCCAGCTGCGGATTCTATAACCTCCCACCAAAATTCTGTCTATACATCCCCGACCTTGCAGTGGATCCCCAAGCCAAAGAGGAAGGGAACGATAACCTAACAGTTAAAGAAAGGGAAGCCAAACCCAATATGCCATGCCAACCAGCGCATCCCGTCTGCCTGGAAGCCAGATATTCTCTACTAAACTCATTGTTTGGATCTTGGAATGTGTCTCCCATAGAAACAATGTTATAAACGGCGATCCTTTCCCAGACCAGCCGCAAATTTGCTGAACCCAAAGCGCAGCTGTGGGGTGGTGCTGGAAACGGCCCCACTGTACTGAACAAGAAATCTACTCATCAGTTTTTTCTAGTGTGAAAAAATGGATAAATGCATCTAGTTCTTTCTCCTTAAGCTATAAACACAAACCTGCTCCACGAATTTCTCTGTATGGAGCCATGGCTGTGTACTAGGTAAGCGGCTTTCCTTCCCAGGTACCAGGACCCCAGGTGGAATGGACTCAAAGGATATGGGCGTTTCTCAGGTTAGAACCCCAGGGAGAACTGAGTAAATCTCCAGGAAGCCTTCTCCGAGGGTTCTTTTATCCCTTCTAACCTGGCCTTCCATGACCTCAGAAACGGGACAAAGGTTAGCCATGACTCCTACCAGCAGGGCTCTGGCTTTGCTATTCCAGAAGGCTGTAAGTACCGCTAGGATCCCACTGAGTCAAGTGGCCACCTTATAACCAATCATTTAGCTTCCCTCCAGTTAGGGGGACACTCCTAATGCTGGAAGTACTGATCCTTGGCCCTGTTTAAATCCAAATCTGCCAGGCCTGGCGGCATACAAGAACAATCCCAGTGCTCGGTGGATTGGGACAAGACTGAATTTGAGACCATCCTGTGCTCCACAGAGAGACCTTTACAAAGCACCTCAGCAAAAACAGTTGAGTAGATATCTGAAACGAGGTTCACTGAAAACCTTGTTCTAATAGTCTTTCTTCCATATTGAAGCCACAGAAGAGAAGAACGGTCTGCCATCCTCCCAGAGAGACAGAGATGATGCATCTGGTCTGGAGGTATTGTTTCTCAATAGGAAACACACATTGAATTTTACCACCACCACCACCACCAAACACCACCACCATCACCACCACCAAACACCACCACCACCACCACCACCACCAAACATCACCACCATCACCACCACCAAACACCACCACCATCACCACCACCAAACACCATCATCACCACCACCACTACCACCACTTTATATTGGACATAAATCTTCAAGGAGATACAGTGCATTACAGAGAAATGAGGAAGTGGAAACAAGGCCTACCCTGAGGACCCAGTCACATCTGGGCGAGCCTCCGGCAGGGGAAGCTGACTAAAAATCCTTTTGAGAGATGAAAAGGGCCCCCTCTGGGGGATTATTCTCACGCTAAGAAAAGAACAAAAGAAGTTGGGCCCAGAAACAGAGCCTTAGCTGGCAGAAGAGGTTGAATGGTCAGAGACCCCACAGAGCCTCGCTTTGTGGACTCTCCTGCTGAGGAAGGCTGAAGGGACAACAGGCCACCATCTGGCTTGATATTTCCCAGGAAGGGGAAGGTGGAGTGTGCAGTGGCCACAGTGACTCCCCTGCTAGACATGCTCTGCCCTCTGAAGCTGGCTGCATTTCTTCCAGGACGTCCCACCCAAAGGACTCCTGTCTTTCAGGGCTGAGTTCTTGTCCTCAGTGGGTGTAGCCTTCACAGTGCTTCCTATAAGGCAGGAGTTAGTGCTGCTCATGGGCTCCTATTTTGAACCTTTGGTCTCCTCTGAGGGTGCTGTTTTGAGGAAGTCTGAAGGTAGGGACTAGCTGCCGGAAGTAGGACATTGAGTGCCTTAGAAGGCGACAACCCTGTCTATTTTCTATCTGCTTCCTGTCTTAGAGGAGCTGCAGAATTGTCTTTGTCACAGATCCTCACTGCCAAGCTTCCTTGCCCCAGATCACTCCTTCCTAAGGCTGCTTGGGCCAGGCATTAGGGTCACAGTGATGAAGAGTGGGTGCCCCGGTTGTTTCTTTGAATGGCCTGTTTATCCTTCCACTTTTGGTCACCTGGATGTAGCCACTCAACCTCAGACCAGGAGACAAAAAAAAAAAAAAGTTTTTGTTTACAAATTATCAGTCTCAGGTACTCTGTTATAGCAAACAGGAACCGGGGTAAGATGCCAAGCCAGGGGCTAGAGAGACAGTTCCCTGCCTAAGTTCAGAACTCTGGATTTGTTTATGACTTTTTCAAGGGACCTCTGGGACCCACCCAGCCTTCCCTGTGCCCCCAGAACTCCACCCATGTGGTGCAGTGGTCTTTTCCCATGGCTCAAGTCTGAACGAGCTGGCGAGTTTTAGATTAACAGCTGTTAGCCTGACCCCATTTGTTCTCACAGGCTGGAGAGACCCAGAGAAATCTGAGAAGTAAAGATTTTGTCAGGGAACTCTCCCAGTGTACCTTTCACGGTGCTCTCTTAATTAAGAGTCCCCTTTTCCATGGTGTCTAAAATATTTATACGGCACAGTATCTGGAACCATCCTTGGGGACAGAAAAGGGGAGCAGCTCAGAGCTCCTAATCACTCCCATACAGCAGATCTCGCTAGATGTCCACCGTTCTCTTGAAACACAGATGGATCTGGTAGGAAGCGAAGAAAGCAAAGAGCCATGGGTAGATCACCTGGAATTGTTCACACCCCCAAAATATGTCTCCTTTCCCAGGAAGTATTTGGGAAGAAGCCTGAAGCCTAAACTCAGAAGTCGCCCCGCTAAACAACACGCTTTATCACGCACACAGACCCGAACTGTTTCAAAGCAGAGGGAATGAGCCATAGAATTTTCCTAGGGATCGTTTCAAGTTTCCTTGGCCCAAGGTTAGCTCCTACTGAAGTTTCCCGTCTCCTTGGAACAGCCTTCCTTGGTGTGAGCCCATGCAAATGGAATGAGCACTCCCAGTTGTACCAGCGTTCATTTGTAAGACATCAGCGGTGTGCAGGCCACTGTTTGGAAGGTGAAGGACAGGAAAAAGCAAGTGTCGTGAAGCCAAGAGCCTGCTAAGAAGCATCTTGTACAAGAATGCATTAGTGGGAACAGAACAGACTTACAGAAATCAGTCCACCTCGCCATTCACTTATCAAAACAAAAGCCGCGTGAGCCAGCCTATATGAAGAGTGACTTCAAAGAACCCAGGCCCCAGTGAAGGAAATGAAACAGGTCCAGAGGGCTGTCTCTCACGGGCCCTTGCCTCCCCGGCCCTCTCGCTTCATCCCTGCTTTGTACACTTCCTCCTCTCCACTCTGCTCCCAGTTTGTGACTAACAGTAACCTTTGCCCCAGTATCTATGTAGGATTAAAGATCTGTATCCACGGTCGGCTCACTCCGACTCTAAGTGCCATCAGTGTGATCAGACATGAGATAGGCCAGTGTCCCCGTGAGGATGAGGGGTAAGCAGAAGGGGAAATAATTTTGAATCTCTGGGGAAGTTTGTTGGTTTTCTGTTTGGGCTTTTTGAAACAGGGTCTCACGTAGCATAGGCTGGCCCAAAGTTGCTATGTAGCTGAGGCTGGTCTCAAATTCCTGATCCTCTGGAGTGCTAGGATGATTGGCATGCACTGCCACACCTGGTTTAGGAGTATAGGCGTGTGCCTACGACTTGCTGAACTCTCACATGTTGGCCCTTCTACCCAGGTTTGCGGTCAGGTTCTACCGGCCTGGCACCCTGAATATCTCTGAGAGATCCTGGAGTCAGGCTCTCTCATACTCCTCATGCCTTCCCAGGT